AGTACGACCGCGTTATACCCCGATCTACGATTACATCTTTATGGTTTTATAACAGTTTGTGCATAAGGGATTCTTTTTTTTTAAATCCCTCGTTCGATTGAAGGAAAGAACACGGGAATATCGTGTTTCCGCGAGGTATTTCCCTCGGTTTCTCTTACCCTTGTGCAAATTCGCTTTATCGTCGCGATCGCCGTAGAAAGCCTCGCGCCCCTTCGTATGTACACTTATTTCACGCTCGGTGGGACAACAAGACTCGAAGGGAACATCCTTCTCTCTTCATGAAGTATGCTAAATCGAAGAAAGTCGAAGTGGAATATCTTTCGGTGCATGAACCGTGATAAATTTGAACGGTAATATACTTTCGAAAATAGATAAAAGAAACTTTAAAATCTGAAAGAGTGGATATTTTAAAAATGAATAACAAAGAGACTTCAAAATTTGACATAACAGCTGTGTTCAGAAAGCCGCTCAGTAAACACAGTACGCTCAGTGAATCTTTAATATTATTGTTTCTATACTTATTTAGATCCAACGAAAAATTGAAGGCAAGAGCATAATCATTAAAAAATCGCTGAGCACTTACGGAGCTGTTTTCTGTTTATCTGCTGAAAACACAGCTATCAATTAAAAAAGTAACTCTAGAAATCATATATATTTATTATAATAAAGATAGAACGCCAAGTAACTCCATATAAAAATGTCGCATTTAAAAAAATCTGCTTTATTATTTTGCTATGTTTTTTTTTTCAAAATGAGATCATTTACTTAAATACAATAGTAATTTTGAGACTTGTAATTGTATACTTTTTACTAAATCCATATAGAGAGAGAATTATTATCAATTATTTTTATTAAAATAAATTTCTTTTTTTCTTTCTCTGAATAATATTTTGATTTCTCAATATAATTCTTGATATAGTGATATAAAAATTTTATTAAATTTTATTAAATTTAATTCGCATTCCTAATGTACACACTAATTCCTATCTGTTCAAGTCTTTTATCTTTTAATAATATTTTACGAGTTTGCTAGAATCAAAATATTTCACACCGTATGTTATCTCGTACATGAATGACATCAAAGTACAATGACGTAAGCGCTCGGTGACAGAAGATGCAATTTCGTCGTAAAAGGTTACAGCGCAAGAGACTCCATCATCGTTACGTTTTCACTAATGAATTCTTTACTCGAACGAATAATTGGTATCTCGCATTATCCTCAATCAACGCGACTATACTCGCGCGGATCTTACACACGAGACGAGGAAGACTGTGGTACCGGTGAAAGCAGAGCTGAAACCGCAGCGAGGATGGGAGATGCTGAGAAACGGTAGCGAAAAGTGCATCAGTATGGGGGCTTTGCTGATTTACGAGGAGTCGTTGCTAGGAGAGCATTAATATCCGTGACGGAATATTAAACCGCGAGCATCAATGGTAGATCTTCAAAGGGATTTTCAGGGTGTCAGAGACGAGGAAGGGAATGAGAAAGAGAGAGAGAGAGAGAGAGAGAGAGAGAGAGAGAGAGAGAGAGCTGCGTCCCCGCAAGATTATGAGATTCTCGTTAAGTGTCATGTGTAAAGAGTTCTTTCATACACGGCTGAGCCAACCCCTGGATGGCGTTGCTCGTGAAATACCGTCAGATAAAGGTGACATGAAAATTTATCGAACGTGCGGGGTTTTCAGAGATTCGCTTTAAACTCCTCCCCCAATCCTCCTCCGCTCTGATGTCCTGTGTACGATGAAATGTAAGCTGGCTTACTCTGCCAGCGGTTTTACCACGGTAAGCGAAAGAAGAGAAAATTGCGCAAATGGATGCGACTCGGAACTAAGTTTAAAAAAGCGTTCATTTCATGTGGAATTACTGTGAAATTTTTATCACATTTCTTTAATAGAATTTTCGTAGACTTTACGCAATGACGCATTTACGCAAAAGCTGATCAAATCCCATTTGATCGTATATTAATTTTGCCTCTCGTGATCTTCATTGCATCTTATTTAACTATCTCGGTCGAATATCATTTCTTTTTGATGATTTCTATCTTATCTAATAAGAAAATTAAATCCAATTGAATGTAACACTGTGATGGAAATTTTCTCTTCACGCGAAACAAGAATCGGTAACTTTATCCAAAACACGAGTGGAGCTCGGAAAAAGATGGTTAAGATAATGAGATAAGAGAAGCGGACGTGGGATTGGTTCCAGTAATAACGAGGGAGCATTTTTTTAACAAGGATCGACGACGATCATTTTCTCCTGGGGGAAAGAAGCGAGACGTTCCTTGCTCGCGTTCCCCATCGTGTACCCTGCCACGTTCCGTCCCCTCGGCGCCGCGCCGGTCGCGGGCGGGAGCGAACTTAATTATCTAATTAATTAACCTCAATCAGAACGATGAGTAATTTCTCGCTCGGGTGACGCCTTTGCCGCCGAGACTTTCTCGTCGCGTTGACTGCGGGGAGCGAATTACGGATGAGCTCACGGCAAATCGATTATGTTCCGATGCTGACGTTCCGAAACGGTGTGTCTCCGCCGTAGTAGTTTGCACACAAGAGAGGGTGAGCTCCTCTTGCCAGGATCCTCCTGGCGATATCCTGCTCTAGGTGGCCGACCAATTTTCCTCCCCCATACCTCGTCCGCCTTTATCTTTGGCGCTTACGCCGATCGCATGATAACTCGCTCGTGAAGGGCGATCGTGGTCGTTCGTCCTTCGTGCGGAGTTCAACGCGATGAGGCTTGGGTTAATTCGGGGGATTTTGGGTAAAGAAGATAAATGAATGTCCTTGCAAATTGACCTTTATTTTGATTATTTTGATTTCTATATAGTATAGTGTTTAAAAGAAAAAATATCATATTCAATCAGCTAAAAAAGGTATTGAATGAATAATAGCGATATGGAAAATGCGTATGAATTGTTTCGATGGAAACAATTATTTAACAATCCGAAATCAAATGTCGCAAATTCTAGTATCGTGTTTATTTAACCATTTAAATTCCTGAACAAACTGATTTCCCCCTCGCAAAATAATAACGAACCTTTCGTGGTGGGCTCTCAATTTCTATTCTAATATATCTCAGGTCGCTTTTCAATCCCGTCTTTTCTCTCCGACAAAAGCACCCCCGAAGCTACCATCCAGCTGCACCCTGCGCAGCACCGCCCCCAATGTGTAACTGACGTTTTTGACGCGTCAAGTGGTTCCATCGCGCTTCTACTTCGAGGGTCGGTGCGTTTATCGGCTACTGTTTTACATAAACATCCCCGGGAGGGTGATGGATCGGTGAGAGTGAACCTGTGGACGTCGCGCATTGCGACGGGGCGTAAACGCATCGCGGAGATTCCTCTAAGTGATCTCAAGTGTTTTCGTAGTTGATTCGGCTTCTCTCACGTACTGATATTCACCATCCCGCGCCCGCTCGAAGCTTTTTAAGCTCCGTTTAACCCTGGCCTCAGGGCTCATCTAACTTCGGTATTTAGTTAGTCAACCCTGCCCGCGAGGCGTCATGGGAAACGACAAGTGGCTCAGTCTCGCCCCAGCTAGAGTCTGCCGATGCTCAAGCATATCACCGGCTGTGTACATATTCAGGCGTACATCACGTTGACGCGCATGTATGCGGTTTGTCGCTGCATGCCGAGCGGCCTGTATGTCTTTCATGTGATAATCCTTGTGTATTTAATCGGAGGACGTCGATGGAACCGACTCGGTGCTTGACGCAAAAAGCAAACGATCCCTCGTGGATTAGTTCATAATTTGCTTTGAGCGGAGGGCAGGATGGAGGAGAGAGAGAGCACTCGAATGTGGCAAACGCGACTTTCAACGAGTGTTTATTTAACAGTTTAGATTTTTCTTCCTTTGGACTTTGATTCTTGCCGCTTTTCGATAGTTACGAGATAGATACTCTGGTTTTGTTTTAAGTTTTCGTTAAATATACATTTTAGATGTCGACATCAAATCGGTGACGAAAGTGCTTGCATATAGCGTAAAGTTGGATTTAATATGCTATTATCTCGCGGATCCTTGAAGTCGCGGAATAGTACGTTTTAATGATGATGACGTAGCGGTGCTGATGTTTGAAATTTCGGTTCGTAAAATTATAAAGCTCGTCGTTTACAGCAAAACTGCAGTTCGCAGCGAGCTGCTCGCATAATACTTAAAATCCTCGTAAATGAGTATTGTGAGTTGCGTTGTACAAAAAAAAAAACAGATTATAGATTGCATTTCAAGTTGTTATATATATTTAAGTATGATAAGCATTAGGGACAGAAGAAAATTGAGAATGTAATACTTAGAGAATGTAATAATAGCGGATTATGACAATGATAAGAATAATTATGACCCCTATGCGTTCTCTGCGCTGTCGCACTTCCTATCACTTATCGAAATTACTCTCTCTTATCGCGGAAATTATTCGTACCACTCATGTTGCAACCTCTGCAATCGATAAACCTCTGCAGCTATATGAAGTCACCTGCTTCAACATGCGCTTTCGCGCCTTAATTATGTTTATATGAAGGAGATTACATTATCGCGATCCCGCGAGGTGTTATTATATGAACCCACGGGGGAGATAATATCCCGATAAGGAAGCTTTTCAGAAACTATGATACTAATGCATAAAATATCGCAATTTGAAAACTTTTAAATGCAAAGTGTCAAAAGATTTAAATTGAAAATGTTTTAGAATGGTAGCTTTATTAGTATAATTTTCTAATAAATTAAAAATTTAAGCGATTCTTATTAAAAAGTATTCAACATGCCACAATATTTGTTAATAAAGTTTTTGATGAAGATCGTTTTGTTCCACGAAGTTTGGTACAACTTTCTGCGACATTCCACTATTAACGAATAACTCGAATGGCGGATATAAATGAGACACATTCACACGATGCTGTCAAATCGTCCGGAAATTCTCGTTCCACGTCTCGCTCGATTTCCACGTTTGTTTGTGCTTGAGTTTCTCTGATTTTTGTAACTCTTTACTTTGCTAATGGATTGCGCTCTCGAGAATGTTCTCGCAAAGATCGTGCTATTTCTCCCAACTATCGAGATCACATCCAATTTTGAAGCTTATTGATATTTATGATCGTCAGGTAACCTCCTTAAATCAATGTTAAAATTAAATAATTTTACCATGATTGCATTGAATTGCTTTTGATATTTTTTTCTATTACTATTTATATTTGCAGTCGTTTATACGAGTATACGTTTTGGATAACTTTTACGTGTATATTTTGATGTATATTTTGTTCTACGTAGCACTATGGTATGCTAATAACGTAAGTAGTCTGCATAAATTATGATTGTAAAAATAAGAAATAAGACATACTTAATACACATTTTTCTCAAATGTCTTGTTTTTAAAATATCTTACTGGTTCCATACTTTTTACTCACCCTATAAATATCAATCAATTATATTTGTTTAAAATAAATTTAAAAATTAATGTGTGTGTAACTCAAAGTTAATATATGCATATATTTTATATCAAAGAAATAATGTTTTGATTCTTTTTAAACTTCTAATTAATTTTGATATATTTTTTTATACAATTGTTTTCAAGATAATAAAGCGAATTGAAAGATCAAATCGAGAGATGTCAACAATAGTTGCAGAGAATAAGACGGTCAGTTCCATTTTATTTATAAAATTTGTATACTCATTCAAGATTAATTTTTTTTTACATAGTTATAATCAATGTTGTTATATTTATGCACTCTTTTTATCAAGAATTTTTTTAGAAATTAGACAGATTGGTTTTGTTAAAAAATAAGAAGGCGGAATTCGAGGACGCAATCGTAAAAACGGTTAGCAGTATTTCAATGTATTCTTACAATAATATCTTTTTATTTTTATGATAATATCTATGTGTAATTAAAGGCATTTACTTTACTTATAGACAGATGCACAAAAAGAGACTACGAAATACTTAGAAGATGAAGTAAGTTTAAAAGTGAATCGTGTATGTATAAAAAAATTTTTAATGTTTAATCATAACCATCGACTTAATATTCAGATGAACAAGCTTAGCACAGAATTAATTACAACGTCCAATAAAATTACTGGATTGGAAAAAGTCGTTGAAAAAGTAATGGTCGTCTTTCGATGTCTATTCTGCTGTTAATCGTTTTTACCAGCTTCAATAATTGTTATTAAATCGTAGATGGTTTTTAGTACAAATACCCGGACAAATTACTTAGCTCAACCAATGCTATCGAGGGTGAATGTTCAAAAGAATTCGAAAGAATCACGAGTCCGTTCGAGAAGTTCAAGGTAAATTAAATTATTAGTTGTCATGGACATATTTTAGGACATTAAAGAATAATAAAAAAGCAAACAACATTAAATAAAAATATTAATAAAAGAACTAATTGCTAAAAAATATTAATATTTAATATTTAATATTTAATATTTGTTAATTTTGTTATTTGTTATTATTTGTTAATATTAATTTAAGATTCTCGAACCGTCATTTCCACCAACTGTACCACCGGAACCTCCGCCTCGGAAGTATGGGATCTTTGTCAGTAGACCGCCTGGGCGAAGAGCGTCGTCTGCAACTGCACCTGCGACTCCGCCGCCAAAAATCAGATTCAAATAACAGCGCCTCTGCAGAAGCTTCTTCCGAATCTGTTAATCGATATCGTAAGACGTTAATCATAATAAGAATGTTAACAATCTTCAGATTATGAATAAACTATTTGATTTTATTCTTGCCTGTAAAAAATTATGAAAACAGAGAAGAAATTGCAAAAAAACGTATATATTATGTTAATATATATTATGTTAGTTGTGAAATTCGAAATGTGTCGACCTAAAATTCAAATATCTGCAATTATAATTTTTAATACATTGTATTTTCCACATGAGAACTGAATATCAGTCTTATCACCTGTTTCTTTTATATATATCGTTTCATACGAGATTTTAGATTTTCACATCTCATTCTTCTAATTTAAATTTTTTTAATTATAAAGTAAAATTTCTGTATATTTTCGAAATATATTTTTAAATTGACTTAATTTCACAATTTCTATTTTATAGCTACCAATAAACTTCTTTCGCGATATAATTACCATGATGGTGATCGAAAAAGAAATCTTAAATGGCTATGTACGAAGATGCACTCGAGACGCTCTTCATGTTGCAACATGCATAAGATTCATATGAATTCTTTAAAAAATGTCACACCTTTTACTAAATCACTATTAGGATTGGCTACTATCTTTCTTCGTGGTTATCCGTAAAAATAGAATATTCGAATATGTCAAGGACTCAAAGATAAATTTCGTAATTTTATTTGACATTTTTATTTTTAAACTATCATTAATGAAACTATACTATAAATTATATAATTTTAATACTTTAATATTTATTGTTATAATATTGTACATTATGATTATAAAAATTATAAATAAAATTGTAATAATCACACAATAAATATGTAATTATTCGTATTTTAATTTCTTTTCTTCGATACTAATTCAAGCTTTAATTAAAATATTACAAACGAAAGCTTTACTTTACTGCGGTTGCAATAAATATTATATATTAATGTTTTCTTGTTTTCTGGTTTTTTTAATGTAAACACTAATATTTCATATCATCAATAAGCTTAAACTGTTTATCAACTTAATTTGATAATTATTCATATCTCAGCTTCTTCAATCTAAGATTATATTTTAAGATTGACAAATAATCGGTGTGCGATTTATTCAAAATAGAAATTTTCTTTTTTTTCAACAGTTATTTACATACATATTGTACGCATAGATTTAAAATTATGCGCACACGAGAGATAAATGATTGAAAAAAATGTATGTAATTTTTTCCTTTATTTTAGAAAATATTTTTTTGTTTCCTATATTTTTATATTCCTTATATAATCTTAGACTGAATAATCGATATTAATTATGTGAATTTGCATACAGAAAAAAAACGTGAAAAATGTTATAACCTTGAGCGAAGTGAATATTTATGCAAATTATTTTGTCAGTTTTGATGCCTAATAATAAGGATAGTATGGATTTGTGCAATTTTTATTTCAAAATTGAATTATTTAATGTGAATTATTTAATAATATTACTAATTAATTTGTGACATTACGTATTTCAGTTCGGTTTAAGATTTTCAAGACTGACGAATAGCCGGTTTTTATTTGAAATGGAAATTAGTGCTAATAAGCATCTTTAAAGCATCATAAATAATTTATTACGAAAAATATTATCTCGATTCGAACCTGGATCTTCCGAAGGGCTGATCTTCTTCTGTGGACTGTTTATGTCACATAATTTGGAAAATTTGAAAAATTTGCGAGATTTAAAAGAATTTAGATAATAAAAACAAACGAAAAGCTATAGAATAGTTCTTATAAATTATCTTGTCTGCTAAGCTTATTTGCTAAACTACTGTCAAGTTTATCAGATCGTACGCTTCCATTTAGAGATGAAAGTATTTAGTTAGATCTATGCATGTTAAAATCAGCACGCAATTTGAAAACACTCTTGCTACAATACATATAATCTTTTGATGTAACAATCCACCTGTTAATTATCCACTTCACCTGTTAATTATCCACTTATGTCATCATCTTGCTATGGATACTACAATTCTATTTAGTCTTTCTATTTCCCAAGTATTTTCACACAGTATCATTTTCGAAATGTAGCGCGGATATCGCGAGACCATTATGTTTTGTCGAGATTACGGTGAAAGGAAAATAATTATTTTCCGCTTGTAAAATTAATAAAAAATTAATTTTCGTATCTATTAAAAGCTATTATTTCTGAATGTGCATTTTATATTTATATGTTTTCATTTGAGATTCATTTTCCACTAAAATAGTAGTAATAAAATTTTTATTTAATCTATAAATCATTTTTATTCATTTCTTCGGAAACAATCTTCTTTCAGTCATACGACACAAGATATTCCTTTTTTTAAAAATTCGTGTTTACGAAATTTTTTCAACTTTAAATATATTACGAGGAGATACTTCCTACGGAATACAATTGCCAGTACTAAAAACAGTGCATTTTCTCATGCGGTTCGCCTTGTTTCAGCCACAGAACTGTGAGCGATTGAAACGCATGGACTTGCGAACGATCGGCCAACTTTCACTAACGACTCGTTAGGTTCGCCGCCGTGGTTTCGAGTCATTCACAGTTATTCCGCGACTTCGATAGTCTGCAGTAGCGTTGTCCGTATTTCTCTCCTTGTTCGAGACGGCAGCTGTCACTTCAAAGTGCGCGTTTGATGATATATCTGCAGCAATACGTAGTGATACGTTTGCAAATTTCTATGTTTCATTCTACTATTTTCGGAATTCTATTTTATTGTAAGCTTGTTTACGTCTCGCAAATGTCTCCTGGTGACAGTGATATTCAATGTCCAGCATTTCATCTGGATATTTTTCACGGTGAACCTTTCGATTGTACGTAATGGAGAGACAGAAAAATTTGTTGCAGCTACGCAACATATACAATCGCAGAACCAGCACGCGATATTGAGTTACGATCGGTGGATTTCGATTTACGCGTGATTTGATTTAGTGAGCGAGTTGAAACGCGCGCGTGATTTTCGACGTTGACGTTTGGGGATTGATCGTTCGCTCCTCGGTTAATTGCTTTCCAAAATTTCGTACACATCGGCGTGCGATTTAACGGGCAAATCGCATCATTTGCGTTCGCAAGGTGGATGGGAATATCTCGCTGTGCGCGAATTATAATTGACAACGTTATTCGCAAATGCGAGCCACTTCGCAAGTGAGTTCGACGCCATTCTCGCTCCACGACAGTGTTACAATTCGCTGAGAGAGGTCTTGCGTCGTTTGCACCGTATATTTCAGAATAGGGAGTAGGAGAATTCCCGTTATGATTTCGCCGGTTGTTTCCGAGACTCCCATGCGCTAGAAGTGTCTTCGACGATACAAAAGGAGTTGTCGACGTCGCGCTCGGTCGCGGCTCTTGAGAACGAGCTTTGTCGCTTCGGATGAAAGTAAGACGGACATCGTAAGGGTTTAACTTTATTGCTGCAGCGAGTCTTGAAGAAAGTGGAAGTCAACAGAAAGTGAGAGTCTTTTCTTTTCTTTCGAGAGAGAGAGAGAGAGAGAGAGAGAGAGAGAGAGAGAGAGAAAGGGGGGAGAGAGAGAGAGAGAGAGAGAG